CAAGGGCCAGGCTGAATTGGAAGTTGACTGGAGTAAAGAGAGGAGCCTGGTCAAGTCGTGTACTGGATCTCAAACAGTGGCTCCAGGTGGATCTTGGCAGCTACACCATTGTGACCGGCGTCGCGACTCAGGGGAGGAATGCACCCCGAATACGGGAGTGGGTGACCAAGTACAGTTTGCAATATAGTACTGATGGAGTGAACTTTCATATTTACATAGAAAAAGGCGACAACTCATACAAGGTATTTTCGTCTTTCTTCTTGTTTTTTAATGTTTCGTAACAGACATGAGTGATAAAGAGTGCGGAGGCCAGCCACGGTAATGTTGTTATAGAACTTCCACCGGTGCCAAACAAAATTTACTTATTGCAAATTATAAATGCAATACGTTTTCCAGAAGAGAAAAAAATAGTATTCAACTGTACGGAAGCACCCGAAAAGTGGAAAAACTGAGAAAAGAATCGAAAGCTAGCTTTAGAAATCATGGTGAACTATGGAAGCAAGATTGAATATTTGACGATCCAAGTAAATTAAAGGAGTCAAGGGCGAGGAGATTTGAAACGAAAAATTCCGGTGGGATGTGCTTTGAGGCTTTCCATCAAAATTAAATTTCCTCCTTAGCCATTTTCGATTAAAAAAAAAATCCGGAAAAATTAATTCTCCATAGTAAATCTATTCAGATTCATCCTCTGAAGAATTAATTCGGTAATAGAAAACTTCTCCTCGGCTCTTTAGTGAGTTTCAGAAGTCAGCATAAATCTACTTGTCTCATTATCTCCAAAGATTGAGGGATGATGATATTCTTTTCAGGTGTTTGGTGGTAATCAAGACCGAGACAGCATTGTGTACCACAAATTGGTAAGGCAAATTATGGCACGTTACATCCGATTCATTCCCGTAGAATGGCGAAATCACATCTCTATGAGAGTGGAAATCTATGGCTGCGCAGGTACATCGCGGTGTATCTCATTGTTGCTGTTGCAGTAAATGTATTCATTTGTACCTATTTCATATATATTAGCTGTGAACTTAATCTCTCAAAGTGTCATTCGCATTAGCTTATATAAAATACTTCATTACATAAACGCAATAATGTAACATTTGAGGTTGAGACACTCTGCATAAAATAGAATGGCTAGAGGATGAGTCCTAATCACATATTACATGTAGTTGAGAATTAGAACTAATGTATAAATTAGCCCATGCATTAAGGGCAACTCCTGCAGACCACATGTACATCTCTAACTACGTCTGTCAATTTCCTATCAAAGCAGGTTTCAATTGATTATTGATAGTGATCCTAGATTACCTGTGCAGCAAATCGAAGATTGCTTAGCTCATTCCAGCAAATAGATAGAGCACCCCACTCGCTTTTTCTTCTTCCTCTCACTCTTTCTCTTTTTCTTCTTCATTTTACTTCTTCTTCTTTTCCCTTAATTTTTGCCCTTTTTGGAAAAAAACCAAGGATGCTTTGAACCGCTTGGTATGGAGGATGGAACGATCACTGATGTCCAGGTCAGTTCTTCTTCGCGACTGGATGACAACCATTCACCAAGTCAGGCCAGGTTGAATTTTAAAGAAGAGGAAAATAAGGCTGGGGGAGGCTGGTCAGCTCAGACAAACGACGAAAACCAATGGCTGCAGGTCGATCTTGGGAGTTATACTAGAGTGACGCGTGTGGCGACTCAAGGATTGAATGCCAAAGACGAATGGGTGACCAGATACAAGTTACAATTTAGTGACGATGGAAAAAACTTCCAGAATTACAAGCAACAGGGTGACAACGAATGGACGGTATGTCTTAGTTAGGTGTCACATGCGTGTGGTGGACAAGAGCAATATCCAAAGGCGAGATAGGGGACAACTCTTTCAATCCATACTGTTTCATCAAATTCAATAATTTTGAAACATGAGTATATTTTTTACTTTCTTGAAATTTTACTTTGACACATAGTTTGACAAATGAAAGGTAAGAGCTTTTTAAGGGCAGTGTTTGTCACTTTTGAGGGCCCTTCCAAAAATAAACTTAATCCATGCCGCTTACAATTTACAGGAGCTGAATGGGAATAAAGGAAGTGATACCATTGTGTATAACAATCTGAATCCTCCAACCACAGCAAGGTTTATACGGTTTATACCAATCAGTTGGCACAATAAGATCTCCATGAGAACAGAGTTCTTTGGTTGTCCAGGTATGGCGATTATTGATCTAGATTTTAGAATCTGCTGGCCAAAGAAGTCAGAAAACAATTAACTAGATTGACTGAGAAGCGTAATAGGACTTTTAAAATCTGCTGTCAAATTTTGAAGACAGTCTTTCAGCCACAGGCATATGCCAGCAAGTGAGAAGAGTCTTAGCGTCGCAACATCATTTCTCGTTCATCATAGATTAGAGAATTTTGAGAAAATAGTGGGTGCAGTGAGATGAATACGTGGGATGTAATTTTGGTATTCTATTGAACTAATGTTGACTGAAATCAACCAATCCTTTCGCTGACTACAATAATTTATCAGAGGCAATTATTGAAAGAAAAATTCAATAAAAGTGTCGTGTAAAGTTTGGATACTATCTGCATCTGACTCTTTACAACAAATGCAGCATGTATGACTGCCCTTGGAATGGAAAGTCAGACAATCGAAGATGCTCAGATAAGTGCTTCCTCGCACCTGGATGGAAACCATTCTGCAATACAAAGTAGACTTCACCTTACGAGAAATGTTCAAAAGCAAGGTGGCTGGACGGCTCTCACAGATGATCGTAGTCAGTGGCTACAAGTGGATCTTAATACTTTTGCGAGGGTAACGGTAATAGCGACCCAGGGAAGAAACGGATTCAAAGAATGGGTCACCAAATACAAATTACAATATAGCGATGATGGTGTGACCTTCACTTTCTACAAGGAATCAGACAGCAGCTCAGAAAAGGTGTGGTAACAATTTTACAGGTAAAACCTCACTTTATAGGCCTATCCTATAGGCTATTTTTCACAACGAAATAAATCATTATAGAGCAAATTATTTAAAATAGATTACTACCATGGACCTGACTTTAGCTCGTGAACGTATTCAGTAGGGATCTCTTCCCTTACCTAATACATTCTGCACTACAGATGTGAATGAAATATCAACTATGACGTGTCTTGAAAGGAGAAACAGATCGGAGTGTCCTCAAACAAAGTTTAAATCCTGGACTATTTCTTTAAAATCTACTTTCATTATACTTAGGTGTTTGATGGAAACCGAGATTCAGATACTGTCGTATACAACAGACTAACTTCGCCAATAACAGCTCGGTACATACGGCTGATACCAATGACGTGGAATAACCACATCTCAATGAGGATGGAGTTATACGGCTGTCCAGGTATTTCGCAGTCTTTAAACTAGTGACTATGCCAATATTCTCGAACGTAATTGGTTATCAACAGACTGGTAAAAGCGCTAAGAAAGCAGTTAAGATGTAATGACTGCAACTGGACGGTGTAAAAGCCTTTTTCGGTGTCCAAATGTGTAACTTGACAGTAAACGTCATTCAGGTGTGCTACTGAATCGACGCTTGGGCCACTTTCTCATGAAAAAATTTATTGTTGTTTTTTTCTCATAAATACGTTAACCGACGATCATTTAGTTCCTCAAATGTTGCTACAGTTTTGATGAATGGGTTACAGACGTTTCTGTCTATAATCAAACTCCTGATTCAGGGCTTGTATTATCACAGAACGAATTGAACCCAGCCCCAGTCAATCCTCTTACCTTTAGTCCAAAGACAATCTCCCAAAAATATCGTTTTCGTTTTTAATCTAGGCTGTATGTCCCCGTATGGCATGGAAAATCGCAAAATTTCGGATTCTCAAATCAAGTCGTCAACGCAGCTGGATGAAAATCACTCTGCAAAGCATTCCAGGTTACATTCAAAGGCAAATAGAGAAAACGGAGGAAGCTGGTCAGCACTTAAAAATGACGTAAACCAATGGCTTCAGGTGGATCTTGGTAGTTACATAAGGGTGACGGGCATTGCTAC